TGAACTATATACTGAGGGATATGGGGAGAATATGGGCTGAACTATAAACTGAGGAGACTGGGGAGAATATGGGCGGAACTATAAACTGAGGAGACTTGGGGAGGAAAATGGAAGGATACGGCGCCCCGTGGCATCAACCAAGCAAACCTAGGACTGGTGAGGGAGGAAGGATAACGGGCCGCCCCGTTTGGCATCACCAAGCAAAAACTAGACTGGTTAGGGAGGAAGGATAGAGGGACGCTACCGTGGCCATCACCAAGTATGTGGCTGCACATCGGACTGGCTGACTTACTGCAAATTGAGAAATTATGTGACTAAACTCAACAAAAAGAAGAAACTGTATTATGAAGCCAAGATCAATGATCTAAAGAATGATGGAAAAAAACTTGAGTACTTTAAATGAAATTATGGGCAGAAAGACTAATTCAACTCCATCTTTCATCGAATCAGATGGCTTATTCATCACAAAACCATTTGATGTTGCCAATTATTTTAATGATTACTTCATTGGCAAAGTGGGCAAACTTAGGCAGGAAATGCCACCAATGAACAGTGAACCAACGTACTCATGTATAGAAAAACAATGAAAGAAAAGCATTGCAAGTTTGAATTTTGTAAAGTTAGTGTGTGAGGTGGAAAAATTATTGTTATCGATCAATAATGACAAACTTAGATGGAAAGCTACTGAGGATGGTAGCTGACTCTATAGCCACTCCTATCTATCATATCTTTAATCTGAGTCTAGAGGAAAGTCTTTGTCCTCAGGCCTGGAGGGAAGCCAAAGTAATTCTGCTACCCAAGAATAGTAAAGCTGCCTTTACTGGTTCTAACAGCAGACCTATCAGCTTGCTGCCAGCTCTTAGCAAACTGTTGGAAAAAATGGTGTTTGACCAAATACAATGCTATTTCTCTGTAAGCAAATTAACAACAGACTTTCAGCATGCTTATAGGGAAGGGCACTCAACATGTACTGCACTGACACAAATGACTGATGATTGGTTGAAATAAATTGATAATAAGAAGATTGTGGGAGCTGTACTGTTAGATTTCAGCGCAGCCTTTGATATTATTGACCATAACCTGTCCTGCAGGCTCTCGTTTAGTCTAATCTTGATTATTGTCCAGTCGTGTGATCCAGTGCTGCAAGGAAAGACCTAGTTAAGCTGCAGCTGGCCCAGAACAGAGCAACACGTCTTGCTCTTCATTGTAATCAGAGGGCTGATATAAATACTATGCATGCCAGTCTCTCTTGGCTAAGAGTTGAGGAGAGACTGACTGCATCACTTCTTCTTTTTATAAGAAACATGAATGTGTTGAAAATCCCAAATTGTTTGCATAGTCAACTTACACACACACTTACCCCACCAGACATTACATTTCACATTTTCGTCATTTAGCAGATGCTCTTATCCAGAGCAACTTACAGTTAGTGAGTGCATACATTTTTATACTGGCCCCCCGTGGGAATTGAACCCACAACCATGGCGTTGCAAACCAAGTAAACTAAACTGGTGGGGAGGAGGAACCATACAGAATGGATGGTGTGTTATCCATAGAAGACCCAATGTATAATGATCTAGAATATGGTGATTAGCTAGATCCCCCAATGACCACCCAGCAGGGGGGGGTTAGGGATAGTGGGGGGCGCAAACCTCAGCCTGACCTTTCACCTCACAGAGAAGAGTTCATTCAGGGACAGAACATTGGGGGCATGATGTCACCTGACTAAACTGACAGATTGAAATAACAGACTTCTTTCAAAGGGTGGATGACAGAAATCCTAAATTGACCCAAATGGTCTTGAATGATCAGTCAACATTAAGACATATCCCCTTTATCAGACTGACAGACAATAGGAACAATCTACTATAGGCACTAGAACATCACTGCTCTTTATTCAGGTTCACACACAAAAAGCCCATCTACTTTCTCCAGTACGTTTATATAATTATACATATTACATTACTGCTGGACATTTACATGTTTGGTCATTTAGCAGGACATGAAAGTGGATTTGTACAACAAGCCCAACCAGTGTTCTAGTCTAACAAACTTTACATGACATCATGCAACATGGGCACTGATCTGACCAATAACAAGGAAATACAATACCTAACCCATGGGAATATCAACATGTAATACCTAACCCATGGGAATATCAACATGTAATACCTAACCCATGGGAATATCAACATGTAATACCTAACCCATGGGAATATCAACATGTAATACCTAACCCATGTGAATATCAACATGTAATACCTAACCCATGTGAATATCAACATGTAATACCTAACCCATGTGAATATAAACATGTAATACCTAACCCATGTGAATATCAACATGTAATACCTAACCCATGTGAATATCAACATGTAATACCTAACCCATGTGAATATCAACATGTAATACCTAACCCATGTGAATATCAACATGTAATACCTAACCCATGTGAATATCAACATGTACGTGGAGCCCTCAACACAGACCATTGTCAGACATACAATCTTTAATCTAAAACATAGTTGTTAGACAATCCAAAGATACCATAACATGCTTTTAAGTAAAGGTAGAAAATATCAATAGGATGTCCTCAGCTTCTTCAGACCAGCTTTATTCAAAACGCAAAAGGCTGTGATCAATGTAGTATTATACAACGGGTGGGTCGAATCCTGAATGCTGATTGGTTAAAACGGTCTACTCCACAAGTTACCTCCGGCTAAATCTATGATGTTAAAATGCCTGTTTACTCGGTTCCATCTGACAACCCAATCCACTGCCTCCTCAGCCCAGCCAGGCAATTTATAAACTTGATCTCCACTATAAAAAGCATCTAGACATGATCTCAACAGCGGAGATTTGTATAAAACTGTCGGTCTCTCCGACATTTATTCAAATTCGATCTCCAGCTGTCCCATAGTAATGGGAGACGGGACGAGACAGACAGGCAGCGTTTCTCAGCCAGTCGAAATCATGAATCAGCTGGCATACTTTTTATGGATATATTCAAACAAATGTCAAATCAAAACAGGTAAAAAGAAACAAAGTGCAGCTAGTTTGCATCTTTCCAGTGATTGTGTTAGCTGGGTAGTTGGTATACCAGGGTGAAATCACGCCTCATTAGCTAATTGTTATGGATGTATCCAAATAAATGTCACTAGAAAACAGTTTAAACAAACGCAAATGCAGCTACTGTTGTTATTCTGGCTGCACTGTTTGATGTAACTGTGAGTTATCCGTAGCTGACATATTATAACATTTTTAATGAAAATATGCCAATGATTATTTGAATATGATGGTAACCCGTTGTATAAAAGTGACAATGCCCTCGAAGCCGGTGTTTGGAGGATATATTGGCATGGTTTGGCAGGCCTGAGAAGACACCCATGCCAATATATGAACCAAACACCGGCTTCGAGGGCATTTATCACATAAATGTAGTACTGTCATGTTTCCATTCACACAAATAGGACTCTTCAGTCAAGAACTACAATTATAGCCAGCCAGTCTTCAACATACTGTCACTGAAAAGGAGCTTGATGTTCCTGACGGTTCTCTGATGTGCTTATATTTAGAAAGATCTCTACTTTCAATAAAACATACAAAAAGGGCTATTAAGGACAAAGTCTAATATTAATATAATTTGTAATAACTTATCTTTAGGTAGATGTGTGTTTTGTTCTTGGCGCAACCTTCAAAATGATTGAACCACCCAAGTAAAGAGTATTTTTGAGAAAAGGTCATTTTATAGCAATAGATATACCTGGACAATGTGCATCTAGTTTTAGTCAGAAGCCTTTCAAATCCTGATATAGATGGAGATATATACACAAATCCTTAATATAAAACACCTACCTACACCTCCCAATGATATGGAAGAACTAGTTAAGTCGCTCTGGTTAAGAGCGTCTGCTAAATGACTAAAATGTAAATGTAAAATGTTAAAAATGTATTCAAATCAACATCAAGGCATCCATCTTCCTACAGAAAACGCAGTCAGAAATACTCAAATATCTCAGGCCGCGTCCCAAATGGCACCCTATTCCCTATATAGTGCACTACTTTAGACCAGAGAATGGCACCCTATTCCCTATATAGTGCACTACTTTAGACCAGAGAATGGCACCCTATTCCCTATATAGTGCACTACTTTGACCCCAGTCCATAGGGTACTATAAATATATAGTGCACTACTTTGACCACAGCCCATAGTGTACTATAACTATATAGTGCACTACTTTGACCACAGCCCATAGTGTACTATAACTATATAGTGCACTACTTTGACCACAGCCCATAGTGTACTATAACTATATAGTGCACTACTTTGACCAGAGCTCACAGGAAATAGGTTGGCATTTGGGACAGAACTTTACATTTTAGTCATTTAGCAGACGCTCTTATCCAGAGAGAGACTTACAGTTAAGTGAGTGCATACATTTTTCATACTGGCCCCCCGTGGGAATCGAACCCACAACCCTGGCGTGGCAAGCGCCATGCTCTACCAACTGAGCTACACGATCTTCAGAATGAAACAGACTCATGTTGATCAGTAATGTTCTAACAACATGATGTCATCATATCCAACATGCCATCATATACAAGGTCTCTTATGCATGGTTTGGGCTGAGGATTGGCAGACGAACGTTGCCACTCTGTAGACATGAGCCAATGGCAGACAGCCTTGCTCCTCAGTCTCCTCTTCGGCCACCAATCGCCTTCTCAGGAAGAGCAGGGGGAGGGGCAGTCAGCCGGGAGTGGGTTACAGGGTTTGGCGTGGCAGGGGTGAGATGGAGAGAGATGTAGGTGTACCCTCCCCTGAGTGCAGGCTGTGAAGGAAGGAGGGAGGGAGGGAGGGAGGACAAGTATTGAAGCAGGTGGGGAAGAGGTGGCCTCCTGTCCTTGTCTCTCCTCAACAGGAGCAGTTCCCACAGCCCTTGACACTGTTCATGATCTCCTCCTGTAGTTTCTTCCTCTCCTGCTCCTTCTGGCTGAGTCTCTCTGGCTGCAGCGCCACTGGGCTGTTCCTACTGTTCAGTATCTTACTGTTCTGAGTGTTCCACAGGTCAGCGTACAGAGACCCTGGAGTAGCCAGCAGAGAGTGGTGGTCTCCTCGCTCTGCTATCTTCCCCTGGAGGGGAGAGGAGGAGGGGGGGGGACAGATGGGGAGAGAGGGAGAAGGACAGGGGGGGGGGGGGGGGGGGGGGAGAGGAGGAGGAGGATTATGCTACTATAAAGTCTAGTTGAGTCAGACCAAAGTCCATGTAAAAAGGACTGACACAGAATTAAGTATTGAATGGGAGACATACAGAATGAATGGTAATGTAAACTCTACAGTGATGAGGCAACGCTCCCTCTATGAAACCCCCCCTACCTCCCTGATGCCTATACAGTGATGAGGCAACGCTCCCTCTATGAAACCCCCCCTACCTCCCTGATGCCTATACAGTGATGAGGCAACGCTCCCTCTATGAAACCCCCCCTACCTCCCTGATGCGTCTACAGTGATGAGGCAACGCTCCCTCTATGAAACCCCCCCTACCTCCCTGATGCCTCCACAGTGATGAGGCAACGCTCCCTCTATGAAACCCCCCCTACCTCCCTGATGCCTATACAGTGATGAGGCAACGCTCCCTCTATGAAACCCCCCCTACCTCCCTGATGCCTCCACAGTGATGAGGCAACGCTCCCTCTATGAAACCCCCCCTACCTCCCTGATGCCTCCACAGTGATGAGGCAACGCTCCCTCTATGAAACCCCCCCTACCTCCCTGATGCGTCTACAGTGATGAGGCAACGCTCCCTCTATGAAACCCCCCCTACCTCCCTGATGCCTCCACAGTGATGAGGCAACGCTCCCTCTATGAAACCCCCCCCTACCTCCCTGATGCCTATACAGTGATGAGGCAACGCTCCCTCTATGAAACCCCCCCTACCTCCCTGATGCCTCTCGCACTACTGTTACTGTTCCCTACTGACACCCCCCCACTAATAAAAGTATCCCAACCCCCAGGGAGCTAGGCAGGCATGCACGTAACTATACCACGCGTATACCAGGCACGTAACTATACCACGCCTATACCAGGCACGTAACTATACCACGCCTATACCAGGCACGTAACTATACCACGCCTATACCAGGCACGTAACTATACCACGCCTATACCAGGCACGTAACTATACCACGCCTATACCAGGCACGTAACTATACCACGCCTATACCAGGCACGTAACTATACCACGCCTATACCAGGCACGTAACTATACCACGCCTATACCAGGCACGTAACTATACCACGCCTATACCAGGCACGTAACTATACCACGCCTATACCAGGGCACGTAACTATACCACGCCTATACCAGGCACGTAACTATACCACGCCTATACCAGGCACGTAACTATACCACGCCTATACCAGGCACGTAACTATACCACGCCTATACCAGGCACGTAACTATACCACGCCTATACCAGGCACGTAAACTATACCACGCCTATACCAGGCACGTAACTATACCACGCCTATACCAGGCACGTAACTATACCACGCCTATACCAGGCACGTAACTATACCACGCCTATACCAGGCACGTAACTATACCACGCCTATACCAGGCACGTAAACTATACCACGCCTATACCAGGCCACGTAACTATACCCACGCCTATACCAGGCACGTAACTATACCACGCCTATACCAGGCACGTAACTATACCACGCCTATACCAGGCACGTAACTATACCACGCCTATACCAGGCACGTAAACTATACCACGCCTATACCAGGCACGTAACTATACCACGCCTATACCAGGCACGTAACTATACCACGCCTATACCAGGCACGTAACTATACCACGCCTATACCAGGCACGTAACTATACCACGCCTATACCAGGCACGTAACTATACCACGCCTATACCAGGCCGTAACTATACCACCTATACCAGGCCGTAACTATACCACACCTATACCAGGCACGTAACTATACCACGCCTATACCAGGCACGTAACTATACCACGCCTATACCAGGCACGTAACTGACTGTTTCTATCTCTGTGACTTAACGAGCCGACACCATGACAACACGGCATAACAGGCCTCCTCGCCACGACGACCTTCTGATCTCTCCATCTGACGCTCTGCCTACGTTCCTGGGGGATCATAGGAAACACCACCAACAGCTTTCAGAGCACTAAGACGCACCACACGACAAGCAAACCAAACCCCCTCTCCTCTCTATCTATTCCTCAGTCCTCTCTCCTCTCCCTCAGTCCTCTCTCCTCTCCCTCAGTCCTCTCTCCACTCCCTCAGTCCTCTCTCCTCTCCATCTCTTTCTATTCCTCTCTCCATCTCCTTCTATTCCTCTCTCCATCTCCTTCTATTCCTCTCTCCATCTCCTTCTATTCCTCTCTCCATCTCCTTCTATTCCTCTCTCCATCTCCTTCTATTCCTCTCTCCATCTCCTTCTATTCCTCTCTCCATCTAATCCTCAGTCCTCTCCATCTAATCCTCAGTCCTCTCCATCTAATCCTCAGTCCTCTCCATCTAATCCTCAGTCCTCTCCATCTATTCCTCAGTCCTCTCCATCTATTCCTCAGTCCTCTCCATCTATTCCTCAGTCCTCTCCCTCTATTCCTCAGTCCTCTCCCTCTATTCCTCAGTCTTCTCTATTCCTCAGTCCTCTCTATTCCTCAGTCCTCTCTATTCCTCAGTCCTCTCTATTCCTCAGTCCTCTCTATTCCTCAGACCTCTCTACTCCTCAGTCCTCTCTCCATCTCTTTCTATTCCTCAGTCCTCTCTACTCCTACCTAACTAGATTAATGTTGTAAGTGAGAACTCTTCCTCAATAGACGTAAGAGCCTAAAGGAGGTACATAACTAAACAGGGCCCGGTTTCCCCATAGCCATGGTATTTAGGCTAAACAGGGCCCGGTTTTTCCCCCATAGCCAGGGTATTTAGACTAAACAGGGCCCGGTTTCCCCAGATCATGGTATTTAGGCTAAACCAGGGGCCCCGGTTTCCCCATAGCCATGGGTAATTTAGGCTAAACAGGCAGGGCCCGGTTTCCCCCCATTAGCCATGGTAATTTAAGGCTAAACAGGGCCCGGGTTCCCCATAGCCATGGTATTTTAGGCTAAACAGGCCCGGTTACTCCCCATAGCCATGGTAATCTAGACTAAACAGGGCCCTGTTTCCCCATAGCCATGGTATTTAGTACTAAACAGCAAGGCCCGGTTTTCCCCCATAGCCATGGTATGTAGACTAAACAAGGGCACCGGTTTCCCCATAAGCCAATGGTATTTAGACTAAACAGGGCCCGGTTTCCCCATAGCCATGGTATTTAGACTAAACAGGGCCCGGTTTCCCCATAGCCATGGTATTTAGCCTAAACAGGGCCCGGTTTCCCCAATAGCCATGGTATTTAGGAACTCTAAACAGGGCCCGGTTTCCCCATAGCCATGGTATTTAGACTAAACAGGGCCCGGTTTCCCCATAGCCATGGTATTTAGGCTAAACAGGGCCCGGTTTCCCCATAGCCATGGTATTTAGGCTAAACAGGGCCCGGTTTCCCCATAGCCATGGTATTTAGACTAAACAGGGCCCGGTTTCCCCATAGCCATGGTATTTAGACTAAACAGGGCCCGGTTTCCCCATAGCCATGGTATTTAGACTAAACAGGGCCCGGTTTCCCCATAGCCATGGTATTTAGACTAAAACAGGGCCCGGTTTCCCCATAGCCATGGTATTTAGGCTAAACAGGGCCCGGTTTCTCCATAGCCATGGTATTTAGGCTAAACAGGGCCCGGTTTCCCCATAGCCATGGTATTTAGGCTAAAACAGGGCCCGGTTTCCCCATAGGCATGGTATTTAGACTAAACAGGGCCCGGTTTCCCCATAGCCATGGTATTTAGACTAAACAGGGCCCGGTTTTCCCCATAGCCATGGTATTTAGACTAAACAGGGCCCGGTTTCCCCATAGCCATGGTATTTAGACTAAACAGGGCCCCGGTTTCCCCATAGCCATGGGTATTTAGACTAAACAGGGCCCGGTTTCCCCATAGCCATGGTATTTAGACTAAACAGGGCCCGGTTCCCCATAGCCATGGTTTTAGGCTAAACAGGGCCCGGTTTCCCCATAGCCATGGTATTTAGACTAAACAGGGCCCGGTTTCCCCATAGCCATGGTATTTAGACTAAACAGGGCCCGGTTTCCCCATAGCCATGGTATTTAGACTAAACAGGGCCCGGTTTCCCCCATAGCCATGGTATTTAGACTAAACAGGGCCCGGTTTTCCCCATAGCCATGGTATTTAGACTAAACAGGGCCCGGTTTCCCCATAGCCATGGTATTTAGACTAAACAGGGCCCGGTTTCCCCATAGCCATGGTATTTAGACTAAACAGGGCCCGGTTTCCCCATAGCCATGGTATTTAGACTAAACAGGGCCCGGTTTCCCCATAGCCATGGTATTTAGGCTAAACAGGGCCCTGTTTCCCCATAGCCATGGTATTTAGACTAAACAGGGCCCGGTTTCCCCATAGCCATGGTATTTAGACTAAACAGGGCCCGGTTTCCCCATAGCCATGGTATTTAGACTAAACAGGGCCCGGTTTCCCCATAGCCATGGTATTTAGACTAAACAGGGCCCGGTTTCCCCATAGCCATGGTATTTAGACTAAACAGGGCCCGGTTTCCCCATAGCCATGGTATTTAGACTAAACAGGGCCCGGTTTCCCCATAGCCATGGTATTTAAGCTTAGAAGTGTTTTAACGATGCATCTTTCCTAACGGCCAAAGATGTAACGTGTTTCCCAAAACACCACGCAGAGAGAAAGTTCCCATATGCGTTGTGGCATTTTTCGATAGGATAGAAAGAAAAGGAACCACTGATCTCGGATCAGATTTCCCCATTCAAATCTTTCCATAACATTATAATTATTCCACAATACTGACGACAGATCAGGTCCTAGAGAGACATTAGGCCTACCACCGATAGCAGCTAATATTGAGGCAGCTTATTCTAATACCTAGCCTACCCTATAGGTATGTCCTAAATCATTGTGCACGTTACACATCATGAAATATATTTAGGCATAAAATTTAGACAGTAGCCTACAATTAGCAAAATAGACCTCAGTTGAATGAACATAAAATGTATTTCAATATGATTTAAATATATAGGCCTATATAGCTATCCTTCAATCATCCTACAGTCATCTTGGTTTCCATTTCAAGCAGATTTTATTCCTCCGCTTGTTTGTAACAACTGCAAAGACATTGGGACTTTGTACGTAGACCTATTTGTAGTCAACTTTGTTCTGAAGTTATCAGCGGTCACATGGAGACAGATAAACATCTTGATTGTGTGTAAAGTGACACGAAGGGGCAAAAAAGCATCTAACGAGGCACTTAGCTGTTCTAGTGGTCTGAGACAGTCAGTAAATAACGAGTGTTTTCAGGTGCAACTTTACTAACGATGGTTTTAACGATGCTCCTACGATGGTTCTAAAGATGAACATAACATGCTTCTGGGAAACTACCACAGTATGTAGCCATTACACATCTCAGGCTGATACTGTGGAGGTCTCAGGCTGATACTGTGGAGGTCTCAGGGTGATACTGTGGAGGTCTCAGGGTGATACTGTGGAGGTCTCAGGCTGATACTGTGGAGGTCTCAGGGTGATACTGTGGAGGTCTCAGGCTGATACTGTGGAGGTCTCAGGCTGATACTGTGGAGGTCTCAGGGTGATACTGTGGAGGTCTCAGGCTGATACTGTGGAGGTCTCAGGGTGATACTGTGGAGGTCTCAGGCTGATACTGTGGAGGTCTCAGGCTGATACTGTGGAGGTCTCAGGGTGATACTGTGGAGGTCTCAGGGTGATACTGTGGAGGTCTCAGGCTGATACTGTGGAGGTCTCAGGCTGATACTGTGGAGGTCTCAGGCTGATACTGTGGAGGTCTCAGGCTGATACTGTGGAGGTCTCAGGGTGATACTGTGGAGGTCTCAGGGTGATACTGTGGAGGTCTCAGGCTGATACTGTGGAGGTCTCAGGCTGATACTGTGGAGGTCTCAGGGTCTGTTCTGGTGGAGGGAAATTAAGCTAGTGCGCTAGACAAATGCACCAGGCCAGGGACATTTTGGCATGGCCCAGATTTGGGACCTGAATGTTATCCGAGGTAGAAGAAAACGTGGTCTGCTAGCCGAAATCCTTAAACACGTCTTCCAGTGATTTTTGAACTTTGAACTTTTCCTGTTGACAAGTGATATTCCAAAGTATGGAATTACAGTAAAGTAATACTCCTTGTGTGTACTTTACTGTATTTATACTTGGCATATTGCTTTTCAACAGGAAAAGTTTAAAAAAGACAAAAAGATCGCTGGAGGACGTCTTTAAGCTCCCTCCCTGGACATATCACTATGAGAAGGTCTTCTTACCCTGGACATATCACTATGAGAAGGTCTTCTTACCCTGGACATATCACTATGAGAAGGTCTTCTTACCCTGGACATATCACTATGAGAAGGTTTTCTTACCCTGGACATATCACTATGAGAAGGTCTTCTTACCCTGGACATATCACTATGAGAAGGTCTTCTTACCTTGTTGAGTACGATGATCTCGTCTGCGTCTACGATGGTGGACAGTCTGTGAGCGATGAACACCGACGTCCGGTCCTGAACCAGACCCTTCATGGAACTAAGAATGTTCTAGAAGTACACAGAATCACCATGAAGTATTCAAAATAGTTCTAAACGTTTTACAACACAGGAACATCAAGTGTTAGAAATAGTTCTAGAATGTTGTAGAGTATAGATGCGGTTCAGGAGTGAATGGAACACAGACATTCCATTGACTAGATTGGCGCACTTTCAACAAATCTGACCTAACAAAGTCGATATGTCAAATCCGTTATGATTTATGTATATAACAGGCCCACAACTTGGTTAATTAAGTCCGATGTGGATATATTTGGCTGTTACCGAGCATAACAAGTAGAAGTTGTCCCTTTTCCTGTTTAGAAGAAGTGGCTGCTAAATGCTAACTCCCATTCGTATAAGCTGGTAGCATAGCTAGCATACAGAAATCGGTGGTGGTAGTCAGTCTTTTTTAACTGTAATGCGGTTGATTGTTAACAATGGCTGAACATGTGTTGGTGTTGACATCCATACAAGCATTATACTCAGATTTTGACTTCAACAGTGTGAAATTCACAAACAATATCCTAATTTTGCTGAGGGCAATGAGGAGATTTGGGACCTTTCCGCCACACGTTTCCATGGCAATTCCATTGTATTGGTCGAGTTCGATTGACCTCTTTACCGCATGTATTAGAAATAGTTATAGAATGCTGTAGAGAAACAACACAGGAACATGAAGTATAAAAAACTTTACAATAAGAACGCAATAAAAATCGACATGTATAATATGACATGTGGTCTATCCTCTCCAAGTTCAGGGCAGTTACTCTTTCCATCCCCCTAACATCTACTGAGCTGACAGGTTGGTTGGTACACTGAGTTGAGCTGCAGAAGAGACAACAGGAGATTGTGAAGTGTGTGGGTTACCTCCTCAGTGATCGAGTCCAGTGAGGACGTCGCTTCATCATACAGCAGGATAGGAGGGTTCTTCAGTATGGCCCTGGCTATGGCCACACGCTGCTTCTCCCCACCTGAAACACACCAAGTACATCATGCAGTCTTGACACACCCGGCAACAGACAGAACAGGAAGTACATAATGCAGTCTTGACACGGCAACAGAGACAGCACAGGAAGTACATAATGCAGTCTTGACACACCCGGCAACAGAGACAGCACAGGAAGTCAATAATGCAGTCTTGACACACCCGGCAACAGACAGGACAGGAAGCATACACATATCTACAGCCAGGTCAGACTGGTTGATATAAAACACCCCAGTAGTAACAGTAGAACAACAACTAGCTTCAGTCACGTCCTCATCAACACTAGATACCAGGCTGGAGCCCTCTCCTGGCCCTTCTCCACTAGACAACTAGCTTCAGTCACGTCCTCATCAACACTAGATACCAGGCTGAAGCCCTCTCCTGGCCCTTCTCCACTAGACAACTAGCTTCAGTCACGTCCTCATCAACACTAGATACCAGGCTGAAGCCCTCTCCTGGCCCTTCTCCACTAGACAACTAGCTTCAGTCACGTCCTCATCAACACTAGATACCAGGCTGAAGCCCTCTCCTGGCCCTTCTCCACTATACAAACACTGTCGGTTTTCTCTAAAGCACTGGCTGTAATTAATTGTCTTTGAATGGTGTTTGGAAGATTATCAAGGTTAAAGTTGAATCATTTTAAACAAAGATTATTATGGCTTTACAAGCAGTCTATTACCATGTTATCTGTCCAAAGACAGCGGTGCGCCAAGCATCTCTCCCCCATCCCTACCTGACAGTTTGAGTACCCTCTCCCCGTCCCTACCTGACAGTTTGAGTACCCTCTCCCCATCCCTACCTGACAGTTTGAGTACCCTCTCCCCATCCCTACCTGACAGTTTGAGTCCCCTCTCCCCGTCCCTACCTGACAGTTTGAGTACCCTCTCCCCGTCCCTACCTGACAGTTTGAGTACCCTCTCCCCGACCCCTACCTGACAGTTTGAGTCCCCTCTCCCCGACCCCTACCTGACAGTTTGAGTCCCCTCTCCCCGTCCCTACCTGACAGTTTGAGTCCCCTCTCCCCTACCCCTACCTGACAGTTTGAGTCCCCTCTCCCCGACCCCTACCTGACAGTTTGAGTCCCCTCTCCCCGACCCCTACCTGACAGTTTGAGTCCCCTCTCCCCGACCCCTACCTGACAGTTTGAGTCCCCTCTCCCCGACCCCTACCTGACAGTTTGAGTACCCTCTCCCCGACCCCTACCTGACAGTTTGAGTCCCCTCTCCCCGTCCCTACCTGACAGTTTGAGTCCCCTCTCCCCTACCTGACAGTTTGAGTCCCCTCTCCCCGTCCCTACCTGACAGTTTGAGTCCCCTCTCCCCTACCTGACAGTTTGAGTCCCCTCTCCCCGACCCCTACCTGACAGTTTGAGTCCCCTCTCCCCGTCCCTACCTGACAGTTTGAGTCCCCTCTCCCCTACCTGACAGTTTGAGTCCCCTCTCCCCGACCCCTACCTGACAGTTTGAGTCCCCTCTCCCCATCCCTACCTGACAGTTTGAGTACCCTCTCCCCGTCCCTACCTGACAGTTTGAGTCCCCTCTCCCCGACCCCTACCTGACAGTTTTGAGTCCCCTCTCCCCGACCCTACCTGACAGTTTGAGTCCCCTCTCCCCGACCCCTACCTGACAGTTTGAGTCCCCTCTCCCCGACCCCTACCTGACAGTTTGAGTCCCCTCTCCCCGTCCCTACCTGACAGTTTGAGTCCCCTCTCCCCGACCCCTACCTGACAGTTTGAGTCCCCTCTCCCCGACCCCTACCTGACAGTTTTGAGTCCCCTCTCCCCGACCCCTACCTGACAGTTTGAGTCCCATCTCCCGTCCCTACCTGACAGTTTGAGTCCCCTCTCCCCCGACCTGACAGTTTGAGTCCCCTCTCCCCGTCCCTACCTGACAGTTTGAGTCCCCTCTCCCCGACCTGACAGTTTGAGTCCCCTCTCCCCGTCCCCTACCTGACAGTTTGAGTCCCCTCTCCCCGACCCCTACCTGACAGTTTGAGTCCCCTCTCCCCGTCCCTACCTGACAGTTTGAGTCCCCTCTCCCCGACCTGACAGTTTGAGTCCCCTCTCCCCGACCCCTACCTGACAGTTTAAGTCCCCTCTCCCCGACCCCTACCTGACAGTTTGAGTCCCCTCTCCCCGACCCCTACCTGACAGTTTGAGTCCCCTCTCCCCGACAGTTTGAGTACCCTCTCCCCGTCCCTACCTGACAGTTTGAGTCCCCTCTCCCCGTCCCTACCTGACAGTTTGAGTCCCCTCTCCCCGACCCCTACCTGACAGTTTGAGTACCCTCTCCCGTCCCTACCTGACAGTTTGAGTACCCCTCTCCCCTACCTGACAGTTTGAGTCCCCTCTCCCCGTCCCTACCTGACAGTTTGAGTCCCCTCTCCCCCGTCCCTACCTGACAGTTTGAGTCCCCTCTCCCCGTCCCTACCTGACAGTTTGAGTCCCCTCTCCCCGACCCCTACCTGACAGTTTTGAGTCCCCTCTCCCCGACCCCTACCTGACAGTTTGAGTCCCCTCTCCCCGACCCCTACCTGACAGTTTTGAGTACCCTCTCCCCGACCCCTACCTGACAGTTTGAGTCCCCTCTCCCCGACCCCTACCTGACAGTTTGAGTACCCTCTCCCCGACCCCTACCTGACAGTTTGAGTCCCCTCTCCCCGACCCCTACCTGACAGTTTGAGTACCCTCTCCCCGACCCCGACCTGACAGTTTGAGTCCCCTCTCCCCGTCCCCTACCTGACAGTTTGAGTACCCTCTCCCCGTCCCGACCTGACAGTTTGAGTACCCTCTCCCCATCCCTACCTGACAGTTTGAGTCCCCTCTCCCCGTCCCTACCCTGACAGTTTGAGTCCCCCTCTCCCCGTCCCTACCTGACAGTTTGAGTCCCCTCTCCCCGTCCCTACCTGACAGTTTGAGTCCCCTCTCCCCTACCTGACAGTTTGAGTCCCCTCTCCCCGTCCCTACCTGACAGTTTGAGTACCCTCTCCCCTACCTGACAGTTTGAGTCCCCTCTCCCCGACCCCTACCTGAAGTTTGAGTACCCTCTCCCGTCCCCTACCTGACAGTTTGAGTCCCCTCTCCCCGACCCCTACCTGACAGTTTGAGTCCCCTCTCCCCGACCCCTACCTGACAGTTTGAGTACCCTCTCCCCGTCCCTACCTGACAGTTTGAGTCCCCTCTCCCCGTCCCTACCTGACAGTTTGAGTCCCCTCTCCCCGACCCCTACCTGACAGTTTGAGTACCCTCTCCCGTCCCTACCTGACAGTTTGATTCCCCTCTCCCCTACCTGACAGTTTGAGTCCCCTCTCCCCGTCCCTACCTGACAGTTTGAGTCCCCTCTCCCCGTCCCTACCTGACAGTTTGAGTCCCCTCTCCCCGACCCCTACCTGACAGTTTGAGTCCCCTCTCCCCGACCTGACAGTTTGAGTACCCTCTCCCCATCCCTACCTGACAGTTTGAGTCCCCTCTCCCCTACCTGACAGTTTGAGTCCCCTCTCCCCGTCCCTACCTGACAGTTTGAGTCCCCTCTCCCCTACCTGACAGTTTGAGTCCCCTCTCCCCGTCCCTACCTGACAGTTTGAGTACCCTCTCCCCTACCTGACAGTTTGAGTCCCCTCTCCCCGACCCCTACCTGAAGTTTGAGTACCCTCTCCCGTCCCTACCTGACAGTTTGAGTCCCCTCTCCCCGACCCCTACCTGACAGTTTGAGTCCCCTCTCCCCGTCCCTACCTGACAGTTTGAGTCCTCTCTCCCCTACTGACAGTTTGAGTCCCCTCTCCCCGACCCCTACCTGACAGTTTGAGTACCCTCTCCCCCGTCCCCTACCTGACAGTTTGAGTCCCCTCTCCCCGACCCCTACCTGACAGTTTGAGTCCCCTCTCCCCCGTCCCTACCTGACAGTTTGAGTCCCCTCTCCCCCCGTCCCCTACCTGACAGTTTGAGTCCCCTCTCCCCTACCCCTACCTGACAGTTTGAGTCCCCTCTCCCCGACCCCTACCTGACAGTTTGAGTCCCCTCTCCCCGACCCCTACCTGACAGTTTGAGTCCCCTCTCCCCGACCCCTACCTGACAGTTTTGAGTCCCCTCTCCCCGACCCCCTACCTGACAGTTTGAGTCCCCTCTCCCCCGTCCTTACCTTGACAGTTTGAGTCCCCTCTCCCCCGACCCCTACCTGACAGTTTGAGTCCCCCTCTCCCCGACCCCTCCTGACAGTTTGAGTCCCCTCTCCCCGACCCCTACCTGACAGTTTGAGTCCCCCTCTCCCCGACCCCTACCTGACAGTTTGAGTACCCTCTCCCCGACCCCTACCTGACAGTTTGAGTCCCCTCTCCCCGTCCCTACCTGACAGTTTGAGTACCCTCTCCCCGTCCCGACCCTGAACAGTTTGAGTACCCTCTCCCCCATCCCTACCTGACAGTTTGAGTCCCCTCACCCCTACCTGACAGTTTGAGTCCCCTCTCCCCGTCCCTACCTGACAGTTTTGAGTCCCCTCTCCCGTCCCTACCTGACAGTTTGAGTCCCCCTCTCCCCTACCTGACAGTTTGAGTCCCCTCTCCCCCGTCCCTACCTGACAGTTTGAGTACCCTCTCCCCTACCTGACAGTTTTGAGTACCCTCTCCCCCTACCTGAACAGTTTGAGTCCCCTCTCCCCATCCCTACCTGACAGTTTGAGTACCCTCTCCCCTACCTGACAGTTTGAGTCCCCTCTCCCCCGTCCCTACCTGACAGTTTGAGTCCCCTCTCCCCTACCTGACAGTTTGAGTCCCCTCTCCCCGACCCCTACCTGACATTTTGAGCCCCTCTCCCCGTCCCTACCTGACAGTTTGAGTCCCCTCTCCCCGACCCCTACCTGACAGTTTGAGTCCCTCTCCCCGTCCCTACCTGACAGTTTGAGTCCCCTCCCCCTACCTGACAGTTGAGTCCCCTCTCCCGACCCTACCTGACAGTTTGAGTACCTCTCCCGTCCCTACCTGACAGTTGTTTCCCCCTTTTCCCTACCTGACAGTTTGAGTCCCCTCTCCCCGTCCCTAACCTGACATTTTGAGTCCCCTCTCCCCGTCCCTACCTGACAGTTTGAGTCCCTCTCCCGACCCCTACCTGACAGTTTTGAGTCCCTCTCCCGACCGACAGTTTGAGTACCCTCTCCCATCCCTACCTGACAGTTGAGTCCCCCTTCCCCTACCTGAAGTTTGAGCCCCCTCTCCCTCCCTGACAGTTTGAGCCCCCTCTCCCCGTCCCTACCTGACAGTTTGAGTACCCTTCCCCTACTGACAGTTGAGTCCCTCCCCCGACCCCTACCCTGAAGTTTTGAGTACCATCTCCCCGTCCCTACCCTGACAGTTTGAGTCCCCTCTCCCCGACCCCCTACCTGACAGTTGAGTCCCCTCTCCCCGTCCCCTACTGACAGTTTGAGTCCTCTCTCCCCTACCTGACAGTTTGAGTCCCCTCTCCCCCGACCCCTACTGACAGTTTGAGTACCCTCTTCCCCGTCCCCTACCTGACAGTTTGAGTCCCCTCTCCCCGACCCCTACCTGACAGTTTGAGTCCCCCTCCTCCACGCTCCCTACCTGACCAGTTTGAGTCCCCTCTCCCCGTCCCCTACCTGACAGTTGAGTACCTCTCCCCGTCCCGACCTGACAGTTTGAGTACCCTCTCACCCCATCCCTACTGACAGTTTGAGTCCCCTCCCCCTACCCTGACAGTTTGAGTCCCCTCTCCCCCGTCCCTTACCTGCAGTTGAGTCCCCTCTCCCCGTCCCTACTGACAGTTGAGTCCCTCTCCCCTACCTGACAGTTTTGAGTCCCCTTCCCCGCCCCTACCTGAAGTGTGAGTCCCCCTTCCCCTACCTGACAGTTGAGTCCCCTCTCCCCATCCCTACCTGACAGTTTGAGTACCCCCCCCCTCCCCTGACAGTTTGAGTCCCTCTCCCCGTCCCTACCTGACATTTTGAGTCCCCTCTCCCCTACCTGACAGTTTAAAGCCCCCTCTCCCGACCCTACCTGACAGTTTGAGTCCCCTCTCCCCGTCCCTACCTGACATTTTGAGTCCCCTCCCGCCCCCTACCTGACAGTTGAGTCCCTCTCCCCGTCCCTACCTGACAGTTTGAGTCCCCTTTTCCCCTACCGGACAGTTTGAGTCCCCTCTCCCCGACCCTACCTGACAGTTTGAGTACCCTCTCCCCGACCCCCACCTGACAGTTTTGAGTCCCCTCTCCCGACCCCTCCCTGACAGTTTGAGTACCCTCTCCCCGACCTGAAGTTTGAGTCCCTCTCCCCGTCCCTCCCTGACAGTTTGAGTACCCTCTCCCCGTCCCTACCTGACAGTTTTGAGTCCCCTCTCCCCGACCCCTACCTGACAGTTTGAGTCCCCTCTCCCCGACCCCTGCCTGACAGTTTGAGTCCCCTCTCCCCGACCCCTACCTGACAGTTTGAGTCCCCTCTCCCCTACCCCTACCTGACAGTTTGAGTCCCCTCTCCCCGACCTGACAGTTTGAGTCCCCTCTCCCACTACCTGACAGTTTGAGTCCCCTCTCCCCCGACCCCTACCTGACAGTTTTGAGTCCCCCTCTCCCCCGAACCCCTACCTGACAGTTTGAGTCCCCTCTCCCCGTCCCTACCTGACAGTTTGAGTCCCCTCTCCCCGACCTGACAGTTTGAGTCCCCCTCTCCCCGTCCCTACCTGACAGTTTGAGTCCCCCTCTCCCCGACCCCTACCTGACAGTTGAGTCCCCTCTCCCCGTCCCTACCTGACAGTTTGAGTCCCCTCTCCCCGACCTGACAGTTTGAGTACCCTCTCCCCGTCCCTACCTGACAGTTTGAGTCCCTCTCCCCGCCCCTACCTGACAGTGTGAGTCCCCTCTCCCCGACCTGAACAGTTTGAGTACCCTCTCCCGTCCCTACCTTTCCTTTGAAGTTTGAGTCCCCTCTCCCCTCCCTGACAGTTTGAGCCCCCTTCCCCGCCCCCTCCCTGACAGTTTGAGTCCCTCCTCCCCGCCCCTACCGACAGTTTGAGCCCTCTCCCCGCCCCCCCCTACCGACAGTTTGAGTCCCTCTCCCCGTCCCTACCCTGACAGTTTGAGTCCCTCTCCCCGCCCCCTACCTGAAAGTTTTGAGTCACTCTCCCCGACCCTACCTGACGTTTGATCCCTCTCCCCCCTGACAGTTTGAGTACCCTCTCCCCACCCTACCTAAAACAGTTTGAGTCCCCTCCCCCTACCTGACAGTTTGAGTCCCCTTTCTCCCGTCCCTACCTGAAAAGTTTGAGTCCCTCTCCCCTACCTGACAGTTTGAGTCCCCTCTCCCCGTCCCTACCTGACAGTTGAGTACCCTCTCCCTACCTGACAGTTGAGTCCCCTCCCCGCCCCCTACCTGAAGTTTGAGTACCCTCTCCCGTCCCTACCTGACAGTTTTGAGTCCCTTCCCCGCCCCCTACCTGACAGTTTTGAGTCCCCTTCCTCCCCGCCCTACCTGACAGTTTGAGTCCTATCCCCCCCTACCTGACGTTTGGTCCCCTCTCCCCACCCTACCGACAGTTTAAAGTCCCCTTCCCCGTCCCTACCTGACAGTTTGAGTCCCCTCTCCCCGTCCCTACCTGAACAGTTTGAGTCCCCTCCCCCGTCCTTCCCTGACAGTTTGAGTCCCTCTCCCCGACCCCAACCGACAGTTTGAGTCCCCTCTCCCGACCCCTACTGACAGTTTGAGTCCCCTCTCCCCGACCCCTACCTGACATTTTGAGTCCCCTTCCCCGACCCCACTGACATTTTTGAGTACCCTCTCCCCAAACCCCTACCTGACAGTTTGAGTCCCCTCTCCCCGTCCCTACCTGAATTTTTGGAGTACCCTCTCCCCGCCCCGACTGACATTTGAGTACCCTCTCCCCATCCCTCCCTGACAGTTTGAGTCCCTCTCCCCTACCTGACAGTTTGAGTCCCCCTCCCGTCCCTCCCTGGCATTTTGAGCCCTCTCCCCGTCCCACCTGACAGTTGAGTCCCTTCCCTACCTGACAGTTTGAGTCCCTTCCCGTCCCTCCCTGACAGTTGAGTACCCTCCCCCCACTACCTGACAGTTGAGTTCCCCTCTCCCCATCCTTACCTGACAGTTTGAGTACCCTCTCCCCCTACCTGACAGTTTGAGTCCCCTCTCCCCGCCCCTACCTGACAGTTTGAGTCCCTCTCCCCTCCTGACAGTTTGAGTCCCTCTCCCCGACCCCTACTGACAGTTTGAGTCCCCTCTCCCGTCCCTACCTGACATTTTGAGTCCCCTCTCCCGCCCCCACCTGACGTTTGAGCCCCCTCTCCCGTCCCTACCTGACAGTTTGAGTCCCCTCTCCTACCTGACATTTTGAGTCCCTCTCCCCGACCCCTCCCTGACATTTTGAGTACCCTCTCCCCGACCCCTCCTGACAGTTTGAGTCCCCTCTCCCCGACCCCTACCTGACAGTTTGAGTACCCTCTCCCCACCCTGGACAGTTTGAGTCCCTCCTCCCCTTTCCCTACCTGACAGTTTGAGTACCCTCCCCGCCCTACCTGACAGTTTGAGCCCCTCTCCCCGACCCTACCTGACAGTTTGGTCCCTCTCCCGACCCCTGCCTGACAGTTTGAGCCCCCTTCTCCCGACCCTACCTGACAGTTTGAGTCCCCTCTCCCCTACCCCTACCTGACAGTTTGGAGTTCCCCTCTCCCGACCTGACAGTTTGAGTCCCCTCCCCAAACCTGACATTTTGAGTCCCCTCTCCCCGACCCCTACCTGACAGTTTGAGTCCCCCTCCCCGCCCCTACTGACAGTTTGAGTCCTTCTCCCGTCCCTACCTGACAGTTTGAGTCCCTCTCCCCGACTGACAGTTTGAGTCCCCTCTCCCCGTCCCTACCTGACAGTTTGAGCCCCCCTCTCCCCGACCCCTACTGACAGTTTGAGCCCCCTTCCCCGTCCCTACCGACAGTTTGAGTCCCCTCTCCCCGACCTGACAGTTTGAGAAACCCTCCCCCCGTCCCACCTGACAGTTTGAGTCCCTTCCCAAACCCCCTACCTGCCCAGTTTGAGTCCCCTCCGCCCTGACAGTTTGAGTCCCCTCTCCCCGTCCCTACCTGACAGTTTGAGTCCCCTCTCCCCGCCTGACGTTTGAGTCCCCTCTCCCCGTCCCTCCCTGACAGTTGAGTACCCTCTCCCCGACCCCTACCGGGCAGTTTGAGTCCCCTCTCCCCGACCTGACAGTTTGAGTCCCCTCTCCCCGTCCCTACCTGACAGTTTGAGTCCCCTCTCCCCGACCGACAGTTTGAGTCCCCTCTCCCCGACCCTTACCTGACAGTTGAGTCCCCTCTCCCCGACCCCTACCTGACAGTTTTGAGTCCCCTCTCCCCTCTCCCCTACCTGACAGTTTTAGTCCCCTCCCCCCGGGACCCTACCTGACAGTTTGAGTCCCCTCTCCCGTCCTACCTGCAGTTTGAGTCCCCTCCCCCGTCCCTACCTGACAGTTTGAGTCCCCTCCCCCGACCCCTACCTGACAGTTTGAGTCCCTCTCCCCCGACCTGACAGTTGAGTACCCTCCCCCCGTCCCTCCCTTGACAGTTTGAGCCCCCTCTCCCCGACCACTGACAGTTTGAGTCCCCTCTCCCGTCCCTACCTGACAGTTTGAGTCCCCTCTCCCCGACCCCTACCTGACAGTTTGAGTCCCCTCTCCCCGACCCCTACCTGACAGTTTGAGTCCCCTCTCCCCGACCTGAGTGTCGTATCCATGTGGCATCCTGAGGATGGCGTCGTGTATCCCTGCCAGCCGTGCAACCTGGTAAACCTCCTCTGGCGTGGCGTTGATGTTCCCGTACTGAAGGTTGTAGAAGATGGTGTTATGGAAGAGCACTGCATCCTGGGTAGGAAGGAGGGGGGTGGGGAGAGGGGGGGAGAGTGAGAGATAGACAAAGACAGACAGACAAGAGAGCGTAATGAGAGAAGAGAGTGTAGAGAGGAAACAGTACAGTCAAATCAATACCTTCAGCTCAACTTGAGGAGAGGAAACAGTACAGTCAAATCAATACCTTCAGCTCAACTTGAGGAGAGGAAACAGTACAGTCAAATCAATACCTTCAGTTCAACTTGAGGAGAGGAAACAGTACAGTCAAATCAATACCTTCAGCTCAACTTGAGGAGAGGAAACAGTACAGTCAAATCAATACCTTCAGTTCAACTTGAGGAGAGGAAACAGTACAGTCAAATCAATACCTTCAGCTCAACTTGAGGAGAGGAAACATCAGGAGAGGACAAAATAAAGTGTAGAAACTTGTAGAAACACACTGAACAAAGAAACAAACTGTTCTTTCAACATCTGACGGAAATAACCTGTAGTTTCTATACGTTTCCACTGTGCCCCCTTGTTATGAGAGTTTATTGTCCAAGTCAAATTAATACAGGATCAATAAGTTCAATCAAAATCAAGGTAGTTTACCTGTGGTACCACCCCTATGGCCCGTCGCAGACTGTCCAGTCCAACGTCTCTGATGTTCTGTCCAGCGATGTAGATGTTTCCCTTCTGGGGCTCGTAAAACCGGAACAACATGCGCACTATGGTGCTCTTCCTGAAACACAGAACCATTATTCCTATGGTGCTCTTCCTGAAACACAGAACCATAATTCCTATGATGCTCTTCCTGAAACACAGAACCATAATTCCTATGGTGCTCTTCCTGAAACAACACCACAGAACCATCATTCCTATGGAGCTCTTCCTGAAACACAGAACCATTATTCCTATGGTGCTCTTCCTGAAACACAGAACAATTATTTCTATGGTGCTCGTCCTGAAACAACACAGAACCATAATTCCTATGGAGCTCTTCCTGAAACAACACAGAACCATCATTCCTATGGAGCTCTTCCTGAAACAACACAGAACCATCATTCCTATGGAGCTCTTCCTGAAACACAGAACCATCATTCCTATGGAGCTCTTCCTGAAACAACACAGAACCATCATTCCTATGGAGCTCTTCCTGAAACAACACAGAACCATCATTCCTATGGAGCTCTTCCTGAAACAACAACAGAACCCATCATGCCTATGGAGCTCTTTCCTGAAAACACAGAACATCATCCTATGGAGCTCTTCCTGAAACAACACAGAACCATCATTCCTATGGAGTCTCTTTCCTGAAACCAACACAGAACCAATCATCCTATGGGAGCTCTTCCTGAAACCACAGAACCATCATTCCTTTGGGAGCTCTTCCTAAAAAAAACGAACCCACATTCCTATGGGTTTTCCTGAAACAACCAGAACCCATACCCTATGGGTCTTCCTGAAAACAAAAACCCCTCTTTCCTATGGGCTCTTCCTAAAAACAAAACCCCATCTTTTCCTATGGAGCTCTTCCTGAAACAAACAAAACCCATTTCCTAGGGATTTTCCCTGAAACAACACGAACCATCTTCCCTAGGGTGCTTTCCTGAAAACAAAACCCCATCTTTCCTATGGTCTCTCCTGAAACAAAACCCATCATCCTAGGACCCTTTTCCCGAAACAACACAGCCCCCATCTTTCCCTATGGGTTTCCTGAAAAAACACAGAACCATCTTCACGGAGCTCTCCGGAAACAACACAAAACCCACATCCAGGGTTTTGAAACACAGAAATAAATTTCCTTTGGAGCTTTTCCCGAAACAACAAAAAACATCTTCCTAGGGGAGTCTTCCTGAAACAAACAGAACCAATTCTAGGTGCTTTTCCTGAAAAAACACAGCCATCTTTCCTTGGGCCTTTTCCTAAAAAACAAGAACCTTCATTCCATGGAGCTTTCCCTGAAAACAAAAAACCCTCATTCCTATGGAGCTTTCTAAACAACACAGAACCATATTCCTATGGGCTCTCCTGAAACACAGACCATTTTCCTAGGTGTTTTCCCAAAACACAGAACTCATCCAGGAGTCTTCTGAAACAAAGAACCATCATTTATGGAGTTTCCTGAAACACAGAACCTCATTCATGGGTTTCTGAAAAAGAAATCTTCCCATGGTGCTTTTTAAAACACAAAACCCAAATTTTTCCTATGGGCTCTTCCAAAAACACAAAACCCCTCACCTATGGTGCTTCCTGTGTGGAACCAATGACTTTTGGAAATGGGGACACTTTTAGAAAAATATAGAGACAAACTTGCAGTGCAAAGAAAATTAAAGGTTTTAAGGTTTTTAAAACCACAATCTGAGAGAATGGAGGGTTTATTTATACGGTCAGGACAATAAGAGGACTTTCCCCATTTAAAACCAGAAGTGAAGCACCCGTCCAATTTCCCAAGTAGAGTGGTTTTAAACACAGACAGAGTCATCCCCATTGACCCTTTTAAGCTACCAAAATCCGTTTTTGTCGGGACATAAAGTATTCCGTTTTTGAGTTGAGCATATGAAACATTTAAAATTTTCCGTTTCAATAACCCCCAAAAGCTTGATCCCCGGTTTTTGTGAAACAGGATAAGAGCGGGAATGTGATTTTTTAGACGGGTACGTGGCATGTCAAAATCATCCCCTTTTTGTTTTTTTTCACGTGTGCAGGAGTTGGGCATACGTGGGGTTTTGTGAGGTTTTTTCCTTGTCAAAAAACCCCCAAAAAATAGGCTACCCGTGCGTTTTCCCCCCCCTATAACTAGGCTACCCGTGCAGTTCCATCCACCATAAAAAAGGCTACTTGCATTCCCTCCAATTAATAATAGGCACCCGTGCAGTTTCCCTCCACATTTAAAAATGGTACCTGGCAGTTTCCATCCCCCTTTAAAAAATAGGACCTGGGCAGTTCATCCCATTAAAACTAGGTACCTGGGTTTCCCCCCAATTTAAAAAATAGGCTACTGGCAGTTCCTCCAATTAAAATAGGTACCTGTGCGTTCCCTCCACCCCGTTTAATTTAAAAAAGGTACCTGGCAGTTCCATCCACATAATAACTAGGACCGTGCAGTTCCCACCCAAAAACTAGGACCTGGCAGTTCCCTCCCCTTAATACTAGGCACCCGGCAGTTCCCTCCACATTTAAAAAACTAGGTACTGTGCAGTTCCTCCAATTTTAAAACTAGGTACGTGCAGTTCCCTCCCCTTTAAAAACTAGGCACTGGGTTCCATCCCCCTTTAATAATAGGCTACCGTGCAGTTCCATCACAAAAAAAAATAGGCTACTGTGCGTTCCCCCACCATAAAATGGTACTGTGCAGTTCCATCCACCATAATAAATAGGCTACCTGTGCAGTTCCATCCACATTAATAACTAGGCTACCTGTGCAGTTCCATCCACCATAATAACTAGGCTACCTGTGCAGTTCCATCCACATTAATAACTAGGCTACCTGTGCAGTTCCATCCACCATAATAACTAGGCTACCTGTGCAGTTCCATCCACCATAATAACTAGGCTACCTGTGCAGTTCCATCCACATTAATAACTAGGCTACCTGTGCAGTTCCATCCACATTAATAACTAGGCTACCTGTGCAGTTCCATCCACCATAATAACTAGGCTACCTGTGCAGTTCCATCCACCATAATAACTAGGCTACCTGTGCAGTTCCATCCACATTAATAACTAGGCTACCTGTGCAGTTCCATCCACATTAATAACTAGGCTACCTGTGCAGTTCCATCCACCATATAACTAGGCTACTGTGCAGTTCCATCCACCATAATAACTAGGCTACCTGTGCAGTTCCATCCACCATAATAACTAGGCTACCTGTGCAGTTCCATCCACATTAATAACTAGGCTACCTGTGCAGTTCCATCCACTTAATAACTAGGCTACCTGTGCAGTTCCATCCACATTAATAACTAGGCTACCTGTGCAGTTCCATCCACCATAATAACTAGGCTACCTGTGCAGTTCCATCCACCATAATAACTAGGCTACCTGTGCAGTTCCATCCACCATAATAACTAGGCTACCTGTGCAGTTCCATCCACCATAATAACTAGGCTACCTGTGCAGTTCCATCCACATTAATAACTAGGCTACCTGTGCAGTTCCATCTCACCATAATAACTAGGCTACCTGTGCAGTTCCATCACATTAAACTAGGCTACCTGGTGCAGTTCCATCCACCATAAAACTAGGCTACCTGTGCAGTTCCATCCACATTAATAACTAGGCTACCTGTGCAGTTCCATCCACATTAATAACTAGGCTACCTGTGCAGTCATCCACCATAATAACTAGGCTACCTGTGCAGTTCCATCCACCGTAATAACTAGGCTACCTGTGCAGTTCCATCCACATTAATAACTAGGCTACCTGTGCAGTTCCATCCACATGAATAACTAGGCTACCTGCGCAGTTCCATCCACATTAATAACTAGGCTACCTGTGCAGTTCCATCCACATTAATAACTAGGCTACCTGTGCAGTTCCATCCACATTAATAACTAGGCTACCTGTGCAGTTCCATCCACATTAATAATAGACTACCTGTGCAGTTCCATCCACATTAATAACTAGGCTACCTGTGCAGTTCCATCCACATTAATAACTAGGCTACCTGTGCAGTTCCATCCACCATAATAACTAGGCTACCTGTGCAGTTCCATCCACATTAATAACTAGGCTACCTGTGCAGTTCCATCACACCATAATAACTAGGCTACCTGTGCAGTTCCATCCACCTAAAACTAGGCTCCCTGGTGCAGTTCCATCCACCATAATAACTAGGCTACATGTGCAGTTCCATCCACATTAATAACTAGGCTACCTGTGCAGTTCCATCCACCATAATAACTAGGCTACTGTGCAGTTCCATCCACCATAATAACTAGGCTACCTGTGCAGTTCCATCCACCAAATAACTGGCTACCTGTGCAGTTCCATCCACATTAATAACTAGGCTACCTGTGCAGTTCCATCCACATTAATAACTAGGCTACCTGTGCAGTTCCATCCACATTAATAACTAGGCTACCTGTGCAGTTCCATCCACATTAATAACTAGGCTACCTGTGCAGTTCCATCCACATTAATAACTAGGCTACCTGTGCAGTTCCATCCACCATAATAACTAGGCTACCTGTGCAGTTCCATCCACCATAATAACTAGGCTACCTGTGCAGTTCCATCCACATTAATAACTAGGCTACCTGTGCAGTCCATCCACATTAATAAATAGGCTACCTGTGCAGTTCCATCCACCATAATAAACTAGGCTACCTGTGCAGTTCCATCCACCATAATAACTAGGCTACCTGTGCAGTTCCATCCACATTAATAACTAGGCTACCTGCGCAGTTCCATCCACCATAATAACTAGGCTACCTGTGCAGTTCCATCCACCATAATAACTAGGCTACCTGTGCAGTTCCATCCACATTAATAACTAGGCTACCTGCGCAGTTCCATCCACCATAATAACTAGGCTACCTGTGCAGTTCCATCCACATTAATAACTAGGCTACCTGTGCAGTTCCATCCACATTAATAACTAGGCTACCTGTGCAGTTCCATCCACCATAATAACTAGGCTACCTGTGCAGTTCCATCCACCATAATAACTAGGCTACCTGTGCAGTTCCATCCACATTAATAACTAGGCTACCTGCGCAGTTCCATCCACCATAATAACTAGGCTACTGCGCAGTTCCATCCAATTAATAACTAGGCTACCTGTGCAGTTCCATCCACATTAATAACTAGGCTACCTGTGCAGTTCCATCCACATAATAACTAGGATACCTGTGCAGTTCCATCCACCATAATAATAGGCTACCTGTGCAGTTCCATCCACATTAATAACTAGGCTACCTGTGCAGTTCCATCCACCATAATAACTAGGCTACCTGTGCAGTTCCATCCACCATAATAACTAGGCTACCTGTGCAGTTCCATCCACATTAATAACTAGGCTACCTGTGCAGTTCCATCCACCATAATAGTAACTGGCTACCTGTGCAGTTCCAGTCCACATAATAACTAGGCACCTGTGCAGTTCCATCCAACATAATAACTAGGCTACCTGTGGCAGTTCCATCCACCATAATAACTAGGCTACCGGTGCCCAGTTCCATCCACCATAATAACTAGGCTACCTGTGCAGTTCATTCAATTCCACCATTAATACACTTAGGCACCTGTGCAGTCCATCCACCATTTAATAACTAGGGCTACGGTGCAGTTCCATCACCACTAATAAACTAGGTCACCTGTGCGGTTTCCATCCACCATGAATCAACTAGGCTACCTGTGCAGGTTCCTCCCACCATTAATAACTAGGCTACCTGTGCCAGTTCCATCCCACCATTAATAAGCTAGGCTACCTGGTGCAGTTCCATCCAACATTAATAACTAGGGCTACCTGTGCAGTTCCATCCACCATTATAGAACTAGGCTACCTGTGCGGTTCCAATCCACCTTAATAACTAGGCTACATGTGCCAGTCTTCCCCATTCCACAATAATAACTAGGCTACCTGTCGCCGTTCCCCTCCACCATATAATAACTAGGCTACCTGTTGCAGTTCCATCTCCCCAAACTAGGCTACCTTCATTCCATCCACATAAATAACTAGGCTACCTACTGTGCAGTCCACTCCACCATAATAACTAGGCTACCTGTGCAGTTCCATCCACCAATAACTATGGGCTACCTGCGCAGTTTCCAATCCACCATTAATAATAGGCTACCTGATGCAGTTTCCATCCACATTTTAATAACTAGGCTACTGTGCAGTTCCATCCACATTAATAACTAGGCTACCTGTGCAGTTCCATCCACCATTAATAAAATAGGCTACCTGTGCAGTTCCATCCACCATAATAACTAGGCTACCTGTGCAGTTCCATCCACATAATAAACTAGGCACCTGTGCAGTTCCATCCACATTAATAACTAGGCTACCTGGTGCAGTTCCATCCACCATAATAAATAGGCTACCTGTGCAGTTCCATCCACCATAATAACTAGGCTACCTGTGCAGTTTCCATCCACATTAATAACTAGGCTACCTGTGCGTTCCATCCAGAAACTAGGCTACCTGTGCCTGCATTCCATCCACCATTAATAACTAGGCTACCTGTGCAGTTCATCCACATTAATAACTAGGCTACCTGTGCAGTTCCATCCACATAATAACTAGGCTACCGTGCAGTTCCATCCACATTAATAACTAGGCTACCTGTGCAGTTCCATCCACCATAATAACTAGGCTACCTGTGCAGTTCCATCCACCATAATAACTAGGCTACCTGTGCAGTTCCATCCCAGTTCCATCCACCGTAATAATTCCATCATTTATATTTCTTATACTCCGTACTGGGCCGTATAGCATTACTGGCTACTTTAGAAATGTTTCTGCTTAGAATTACTGACATATGGACAATTGGTAAACCATATGATCATTTCTGACAATTGGTAAACCATATGATCATTTCTGACCTTTGGTAAACCATATGATCATTTCTGACCTTTGGTAAACCATATGATCATTTCTGACCTTTGGTAAACCATATGATCATTTCTGACCTTTGGTAAACCATATGATCATTTCTGACCTTTGGTAAACCATATGATCATTTCTGACCTTTGGTAAACCATATGATCATTTCTGACCTTTGGTAAACCATATGATCATTTCTGACCTTTGGTAAGCCACTTGTTTGTCAACTATAGTTAGATACATGCAGCTTCTCCTCTGTCATAACTTGTTGCCCCATGAGACCAAATAAAGTAGTGCTCACCAGAACAATGTCTTACATTGATCAAATGAATGCATTAATCTAGTTAACACCGGTAAAGTTGTCTGTTTCGTTTAGGGACCGGGAGAAAACGCAATAAATCCAAAACAGTGGAAATATTGGTCCTTTGAAAAATGTCCGATGTCATCAGTTTGACCGGTTTTAAGGAAATTGAAAAGCTGAGAAAACTATTAAATATTTCTGATAAGACTTCAGTTCGTCTTGAGTGCATATTTTCTGTGGTTGAAATACTGTCTACTTGCATAACACGTGCCTTCGCATTTTCTCCAGAGAAGCTGAAAGGAAGAAATCATATTTCTCCACTCCTGTTGCAGAGATAAAATTTACATTTGTTGTATAATTTTACTGCAAGAAATGTATACTTCTGCAGGAGTTAATATTATATTAGGCTACATGTGAGAGGTTATAGGTCTACAGTCAGTGTCCATATTTCAGTTACTATTCCATTGAACCCATATGAACTTGAAATTAGGAATATTCTGTTTATTCAGGGGTACACGGATACTCGTGAACGGGACACCAAAGGTGCATGTAAACAGCTGATCCCGAATTAGACCTTAAGCAGGATATGAGCTACTATCTGGAATACTGTGAGCATGTAGACGTGGTCAATCAGACACAGTCCAGACCAGGATATTACAGATGAATAATGTTGACTAGGGTTGCAAAACCCTGGTAACATTCCCAAAATTCCATGGTTCTCCAGAAATCCTGCTCGGACGATTCTGGATTTCCTGCTTATTCCCTCCCAATTCCGGGAACTTTGAGAAAGCTACCAGAATTGTCCAACCCTACTGTTGACCAGTGCACTTAATATTACCATTTCAGACAGGTCAAGGCCTCTCTAAACGAGTACCTACCCTGATCCGCTCCCTCCTACGATGGCCACCTTCTTCCCAGCCGGCACCTGGAAGGAGACCCCCTCTAGAACCTTCTGTCCTTCCAGGTACTCAAAGTAGACATCCTCAAACCTGATGGTGGCTTCTTGAGGGGTCACAGAGAGAGGAGGGGCCAGATCTCTCTCCTAGAGTAGAGAGACAGAGTTAGGATAGACTAGTTACTATATACTAACCCCTAACCTCTAACCTCTAACCCTCCTGGGGGGGTCACAAGGAGGGCAGGGGCCAGCTCCTTCTCATATAGACAGAGGAGAGACAGGAGAGGAACTGGACTAGAAGTATAGAACCTAACCCTTAGGAATACTGAGTGCAGCTAGTCAGTAATTGGTGTTCTAGATAGATATCTTAGCTCTAGACCAGCACAAGGTGGGCTCTGAGCCAAAATAAGTGCACTACATAGGGAATAGGGTGCAATTAGTGTGTGTTACCTTGATCTTGGTGTCAACACTGAGCAGTGTGAAGAGTGTATTCATGTCGATCAGGGCCTGACGTGTCTCTCTGTACACGGTGCCCAGGAAGTTAAGAGGCAGAGAGAGCTGGAACAGCAGACCGTTCACCATCACCAGGTCTCCTACTGTCATAGAGCCTGTCAACAACATCAACAACACACTGTCAAACTTCCACAGGTACTTCAAGAGATGGAATGTTGATTTTGTAACGTCAGTTGAGTTGGACTCAAACCAATCACAGCACAGATTAAATGGTTCTCTATCATTCTATTTCTGGGCCCTCTCCTCACATGCCATGATGCCCTTGGTAGGATTAGGGTTAGACTGACCTGTCATGATGCCCTTGGTAGGATTAGACTGACCTGCCATGATGCCCTTGGTAGGATTAGACTGACCTGCCATGATGCCCTTGGTAGGATTAGACTGACCTGCCATGATGCCCTTGGTAGGATTAGACTGACCTGTCATGATGCCCTTGGTAGGATTAGACTGACCTGTCATGATGCCCTTGGTAGGGTTAGACTGACCTGTCATGATGCCCTTGGTAGGGTTAGGGTTAGACTGACCTGCCATGATGCCCTTGGTAGGGTTAGACTGACCTGCCATGATGCCCTTGGTAGGGTTAGACTGACCTGCCATGATGCCCTTGGTAGGGTTAGGGTTAGACTGACCTGCCATGATGCCCTTGGTAGGGTTAGGGTTAGACTGACCTGCCATGATGCCCTTGGTAGGGTTAGGGTTAGACTGACCTGCCATGATGCCCTTGGTAGGGTTAGACTGACCTGCCATGATGCCCTTGGTAGGGTTAGGGTTAGACTGACCTGCCATGATGCCCTTGGTAGGGTTAGGGTTAGACTGACCTGCCATGATGCCCCTTGGTAGGGTTAGGGTTAGACTGACCTGCCATGATGCCCTTGGTAGGGTTAGGGTTAGACTGACCTGCCATGATGCCCTTGGTAGGGTTAGACTGACCTGCCATGATGCCCTTGGTAGGGTTAGGGTTAGACTGACCTGTCATGATGCCCTTGGTAGGGTTAGACTGACCTGCCATGATGTCCTTGGTAGGATTAGACTGACCTGCCATGATGCCCTTGGTAGGGTTAGACTGACCTGCCATGATGCCCTTGGTAGGGTTAGACTGACCTGCCATGATGCCCTTGGTAGGGTTAGACTGACCTGCCATGATGCCCTTGGTAGGGTTAGGGTTAGACTGACCTGTCATGATGCCCTTGGTAGGATTAGACTGACCTGTCATGATGCCCTTGGTAGGATTAGACTGACCTGTCATGATGCCCTTGGTAGGATTAGACTAACCTGCCATGATGCCCTTGGTAGGATTAGGGTTAGACTGACCTGCCATGATGCCCTTGGTAGGGTTAGACTGACCTGTCATGATGCCCTTGGTAGGATTAGACTGACCTGCCATGATGCCCTTGGTAGGATTAGACTGACCTGCCATGATGCCCTTGGTAGGGTTAGGGTTAGACTGACCTGCCATGATGCCCTTGGTAGGATTAGACTGACCTGCCATGATGCCCTTGGTAGGGTTAGGGTTAGACTGACCTGTCATGATGCCCTTGGTAGGGTTAGGGTTAGACTGACCTGCCATGATGCCCTTGGTAGGGTTAGACTGACCTGCCATGATGCCCTTGGTAGGGTTAGGATTAGACTGACCTGCCATGATGCCCTTGGTAGGGTTAGACTGACCTGCCATGATGCCCTTGGTAGGATTAGACTGACCTGCCATGATGCCCTTGGTAGGATTAGACTGACCTGCCATGATGCCCTTGGTAGGATTAGACTGACCTGTCATGATGCCCTTGGTAGGATTAGACTGACCTGTCATGATGCCCTTGGTAGGATTAGACTGACCTGCCATGATGCCCTTGGTAGGATTAGACTGACCTGCCATGATGCCCTTGGTAGGGTTAGACTGACCTGCCATGATGCCCTTGGTAGGATTAGACTGACCTGCCATGATGCCCTTGGTAGGGTTAGGGTTAGACTGACCTGCCATGATGCCCTTGGTAGGATTAGACTGACCTGCCATGATGCCCTTGGTAGCCATCAACTTTAGTTAGGGTTAGTTAGGGTGTAGGGGTTAGGGTTAGTTAGGGTTAGACTGACCTGCCATGATCCCCTTGCTAGCTAGCACCATGATGCCAGTGAGGCCCACACTAAAGATGACACTCTGTCCAAAGTTGAGCATGGCCAGGGTAGAGGTGGTCTTCAGGGAGGAGGACTCGTAGGTCTTCAGATAACCATCATACTTCTCTGCTTCGTACTTCTCATTGTTGAAATACTGTAACAGAGAGAAGGAGGGAATTCTGATGTGCACTTTGAACATGTCAGAATAATTGTCCACATTTACTTTCCCTCAGCCAACAAGACAAGTAACGAACAGCAAAATCAGTAGCCTGTCAATCTACTATAGTAGAAACGTTTAGGCTACCTATTCTATTGGTCAGCTTGTTGAGAAAGAAACAGCCTATTCCAAACAGACTCTGGGACGATAAGGTAGCTTCGTGGTTAAGAGCGTTGTGCCAGTAACCGAAAGGTCGCTGGTTCTAATCCCTGAGCCAACTAGGTGAAAAATCTGTCGATGTGCCCTTGAGCAAGGCACTTAACCCTAATTGCTCCTGTAAGTCGCTCTGGATAAGAGTGTCTGCTAAATGACTAAAATGTAATAAATCCCAAATTCATCCAACCAGTAGGCCTAAGCTACATAAACCAGTAGGCCTAAGCTACATAAACCAGTAGGCCTAAGCTACATAAACCAGTAGGCCTAAGCTACATAAACCAGTAGGCCTAAGCTACATAAACCAGTAGGCCTAAGCTACATAAACCAGTAGGCCTAAGCTACATAAACCAGTAGGCCTAAGCTACATAAACCAGTAGGCCTAAGCTACATAAAAACAACTTTAAAAGCAATATGTCTGGATCAACAGATCAGAACGTTTCATTAAATTAATTATTTTCTCCAAATAACATGGACGATGAATATCTATCCATGTCATTGAGCAGCAGACTATTAAGGAGAAGGAGAGGAAAGATGGAGAAGGAGAGAGAGAGAAGAGAGGAGAGAGAGAAGAGAGAGAAGGAGGAGAGAGAGAAGAGAGGAGAGAGAGAAGAGAGGAGAGAGAGAAGAGGAGGAGAGAGAGAAGAGAGGAGGAGAGAGAGAGAGAAGAGAGGAGGAGAGAGAGACGGTCTCACCTTAACGGTCTCATAGTTGAGTAAAGAGTCAATAGCAGCATTTCCTGCCTCGTTGTCTGCCTTGTTCATCTCTATCCTGAAACGAGTCCTAGACAACAAGATGGACGCCAAGGTTACACAGTGGGGAAGAATTCACAGGAAAAAGGTAGCTTGTGCTTTTTTATACTGCTAGCTATAGCTAAGCCAACCACATATATACCAACAGGTAGCTAAGGTGAAAGGTCATCTGTCAACCACCTAGTGGACTGTACCTCCACTGTGTGACAGCAATGGTGAAGGCTGCATACGCTCCCAGAGTACCCAGAGTCACCGCTGCAAATTCCACCCCGCATTTATAATACTGAGGAGAGAGACAGATACAGACAGAGACAGTCATTTTAATATTGCAGAAAAGAGGAAAACATCATGCTGAGTAAAGAAGGAGAAAGCCATAAAACTGGAGATGGATAAAGACATTATCAAGGCATCATTACAACGTCATTATCAGGAGAAGTCAACCAACCACGTTAGGGTTAGGGTTAGAACAGAACATCAGGAGAAGTCAACCAACCACGTTAGGGTTAGGGTTAGGGTTAACAACGTGCTACCAGAGCTAGAACAGAACAGAGCAGATTATCAGGAGAAGTCAACCAACCACGTCTGAATAACAAGACTCACTATTAGTCTTACCAGGTAGGTACAGTGGCTTGTGAAAGTATTCACCCCCCTTGGCATTTTTCCTATTTTGTTGCCTTACAACCTGGAATTTAAATTGATTTTTTTGGGGGTTTGTATCATTTGATTTACACAACATGCCTACCACTTTGAAGATGCAAAATATTTTTTCTTGTGAAACAAACAAGAAATAAGAAAAAAAAAACAGAACTTGAGCGTGCATAACTATTCACCCCCCCAAAGTCAATACTTTGTAGAGCCACCTTTTGCAGCAATTACAGCTGCAAGTCTCTTGGGGTATGTCTCTATAAGCTTGGCACATCTAGCCACTGGGATTTTGGCCCATTCTTCAAGGCAAAACTGCTCCAGCTCCTTCAAGTTGGATGGGTTCCGCTGGTGTACAGCAATCTTTAAGTCATACCACAGATTCTCAATTGGATTGAGGTCTGGGCTTTGACTAGGCCATTCCAAGACATATAAATGTTTCCCTTTAAACCACTCAAGTGTTGCTTTAGCCTGGTTCAACGGCGTCTGTCTGGCCTGGTTCAACGGCGTCAGTCTGGCCTGGTTCAACGGCGTCAGTCTGGCCTGGTTCAACGGCGTCAGTCTGGCCTGGTTCAACGGCGTCAGTCTGGCCTGGTTCAACGGCGTCAGTCTGGCCTGGTTCAACGGCGTCAGTCTGGCCTGGTTCAACGGCGTCAGTCTGGCCTGGTTCAACGGCGTCAGTCTGGCCTGGTTCAGTCTGGCCTGGTTCAATGTTGTCAGTCTGGCCTGGTTCAACGGCGTCAGTCTGGCCTGGTTCAACGGCGTCAGTCTGGCCTGGTTCAACGGCGTCAGTCTGGCCTGGTTCAACGGCGTCAGTCTGGCCTGGTTCAACGGCGTCAGTCTGGCCTGGTTCAACGGCGTCAGTCTGGCCTGGTTCAACGGCGTCAGTCTGGCCTGGTTCAACGGCGTCAGTCTGGCCTGGTTCAACGGCGTCAGTCTGGCCTGGTTCAGTCTGGCCTGGTTCAGTCTGGCCTGGTTCAGTCTGGCCTGGTTCAGTCTGGCCTGGTTCAACGGCGTCTGAACTAGTTATGACATTATTACTGTGAAGAGGATAACAACTCCAGGTTCCTTTCCATGAAAATTAGACAATAAGGCTGTTTTCTCGTCTCCTGACTCCGTTGCATTGTTCTCAACACCAATATGCTGGTTAACTTTGCTATTATGCACATAACAACATGGTCTAGCAAAAGGCGCCAATTATCCAGCGCACTGATGTTTCAGAATCACTGACAGCGATATTTGTATTATTCATTTTCATTTCATTTTAGTCATTTAGCAGACGCTCTTATCCAGAGCGACTTACAGGAGCAATTAGGGTTAAGTGCCTTGCTCAAGGGCACATTAACGTCATTTAGCAGACGCTCTTAGCCAGAGCGACTCACAAATTGGTGCGTTCACCCTATAGCCAGTGGGATAACCACTTTACAATTTGGGGCGGGGGGGGGGGGGGGGGGGGGGTTAGAAGGAATACTTTATCCTATCCCAGGTATTCCTTAAAGAGGTGGGGTTTCAAATGTCTCCGGAAGGTGGAGTGTTGCACCATTGTTCTCATCTAATATAACCATGTAAAATTTCAGTAGCAGATGTCTTAGAGTGATGGACTGTGCCATCCCCACGGCCTCCACAATGGATCAGTCCACTCAGACAGGCTCCAATCAGACAGCCGTTAAAAAAAAAAAAATCTCGGTCGACCAACAGTCTATCGACCTAACAATCGACCAGTCGACTAAATGGGGTCAGGCCCTCTGCCCTCCCTAAATCATGGCATTGAACGGTTCAGCAGACTTTTAGCCCTCCATAACTGGCTACGAGACTATTGCAGCTCTGTGGGTGTAACATTTATTGACAATTTTGATACCTTCTGGAAACAAAGCTCGTATTATAAGGAGGATGGGATCCACCCAAATCATTTGGGTTCCTGGATCCTTTCACAGCATTATAAGGCTGTGTTGAGATAATGACTTATCAATGACCGAAGACCAGCTCATTTAATCCCTACCATTGTGTCGCTGAGTTGTCATAATGATTCAGCAAATGTACATTATCCTAGGGGCGTTGGAAGACAATGTAAGTAACTTAATGCCTCTACTGATCCTGCAGCTACTGTATGCAGTAATCATGAGCCTATGAACCACAGTTATACTGTTAGCACTGAGGCGGTGTGCCCTAGTAGGAAGTTCACTGTGTGTAGCTCACCCTGCACTAATACAAATAACCAGAGCTAAGCTTCCCAGTAAAGCAAGAAAAATAATCAAGAATCCCAGAAAAGGGTTTAAAAATAGCCCCCGTTAACATATGTAGCTTAAGAAACAAGGTTCATGAAATCAATAATTTGCTAGTAACAGATGACATTCATATTCTGACAATCTCTGAAACTCACTTAGATAATACCTTTGATGATACAGTGGTAGCAATACATGGTTATAAGATCTACAGAAAAGCCAAATTGGGGCAGTGTTGCGGTCTATATTCAGAACCACATTCCTGTAAAGCTTAAGAGAGAATCTCATGTTAAATACTGTTGAAGTAATATGGCTACAGGTTCATCTGCCTCACCTAAAGCCCATTCTGGTGGGAAGCTGCTATAGACCACCAAGTGCTAACAGTCAGTATCTGGATAACATATGTGAAATGCTTGACAATATATGTGATATCAATAGAGGTATACTTTCTGGGTGATTTAAATATTGACTGGCGTTCATCAGGCTGCCCACTCAAGAGAAAGCTTCAAACTGTAACCAGTGCCTGCAACCTGGTTCAGGTTATCAGTCAACCTACCAGGGTTGTTACAAACAGCACAGGAATTAAATCAACATGTATTGATAATTTCTTTACTAATGCTGCAGAAATTTGTTTGAAAGCAGTATAAAATCCATCGGATGTAGTGATCACAATATAGTAGCCATATCTAGGAAAACCAAAGCTCCAAAGGCTGGGCCTAATATTGTGTATAAGAGGTCATACAATACGTTTTTTAGTGATTCCTATGTTGTTGATGTAAAGAATATTTGTTGGTCCGTGGTGTGTAATGAGGAGCAACCAGATGCTGCACTTGACACATTTATGAAATTGCTTATTCCAGTTACTAATAAGCATGCACTCATTAAGAACATGACTGCAAAAACTGTTAAATCCCTGTGGATTGATGAGGAATTGAAAAATGGTATGGTTGAGAGGGATGAGGCAAAAGAGATGGCAAATAGGTCTGGCTGCACAACCGATTGGCAAACTTATTGCAAATTGAGAAATCATGTGACTAAACTGAATAAAAAGAAGAAGAAACTACACCATGAAACAAAGATAAATGACATAAAGAATGATAGTAAAAAGCTTTGGAGCACCTTCAATTACATTTAGGGGAAAAAGGCAAACTCAGCTCCATCATTCATTGAATCAGGTGGCTCATTCATCACAAAACCCACTGATATTGCCAACTACTTTAATGATCTTTTCATTGGCAAGATTAGCAAACTTAGGCATGACATGCCAGCAACAAACGCTGACACTACACATCAAAGTATATCTGACCAAATTATTAAAGACAAGCGTTGTAATTTTGAATTCTGTAAAGTAAGTTTGGAAGAGGTGAAAAAATTGTTATTGTCGATCAACAATGACAAGCCACCGGGGTCTGACAACTTTGATGGAAAATTACTGAGGATAATAGCAGACGATATTGCCACTCCTATTTGCCATATCTTCAATTTAAGCCTACTAGAAAGTGTGCGCCCTCAGGCTTGGAGGGAAGCAAAAGTCATTCTGCTACCTAAGAATAGTAAAGCCCCCTTTACTGGCTCAAATAGCCGACCAAACAGCCTGTTACCAACCCTTAGTGAACTTTAGGGAAAAATGGTGTTTGACCAGATAAAATGCTATTTCACAGAAAAACTAATTGACAACAGACTTTCAGCACAGCACTTACAGAAATGACTGATGATTGGCTGAGAGAAATTGAAGATAAAAAGATTGTGGGGGCTGTTTTGTTAGACTTCTGTGCGGCTTTTGACATTATCGATCATAGTCTGTTAATGGAAAAACGTATGTGTTATGGCTTTACACCCCCTGCTATATTGTGGATAAAGAGTTACATGTCTAACAGAACACAGACATTGTTTATAATGGAAGCCTCTCCAACATAATCCAGGTAGAATCAGGAATTCCCCAGGGCAGCTGTCTAGGCCCCTTACTATTTTCAATTTTTACTAATGACAAGCCAGTGTGTATGTATGCGGATGACTCAACACTATACACGTCAGCTACCTCAGCAACTGAAAGGACTGCAACACTTAACAAAGAGCTGGAGTTAGTTTCAGAATGGGTGCCAAGGAATAAGTTAGTCCTAAATATTTCAAAAATTAAAAGCATTGTATTTGGGATAAATCATTCACTAAACCTCAACTAAATCTTGTAATGAATAATGTGGAAATTGAGCAAGTTGAGGTGACTAAACTGCTTGGAGTAACCCTGGATTGTAAACTGTCATGGTCAAAACATATTGATACAACAGCAGCTAAAATGGGGAGAAGTCTGTCCATAATAAAGCGCTGCTCTGCCTTCTTAACAGCACTATCAACAAGGCAGGTCCTACAGGCCTTAGTTTTGTCGCATCTGGACTACTGTTCAGTCGTGTGGTCAGGTGCCACAAAGAGGGACTTAGGAAAATTGCAATCGTCTCAAAACAGGGCAGCATGGCTGGCCCTTGGATTTACACAGAGAGCAAACATTAATAATATGCATGTCAATCTCTCTTGGCTCAAAGCGGAGGAGAGATTGATTTCATCACTACTTGTATTTGTGAGAGGTATTGACATGTTGAATGAACCGAGGTGTCTGTTTGAACTACTGGCGCACAGCTCAGACACCAACAAGACATGCCACCAGAGGTCTCTTCACAGTCCCCAAGTCAAGAACAGACAATGGGAGGTGCACAGTACTACATAGAGCCATGACTACATGAAACTATATTCCACATCAAGTATCTCATGACAGCAGTGAAATTAGATTTAAAAAACAGATAAAAATACACCTTATGGAACAGCGGGGACTGTGAAGCAACACAAACATAGACACATGCATACACACACACGATAACATACGAACTATACACACACGTACACATGGATTCTGTGTTGTAGATATGTGGTAGTAGAGTAGAAGCCTGAGGGCACACACTTAATATGTTGTGAAATCTGTAATGAATGTATTGTAATGTTTTAAAATGTATAACTGCCTTCAGTTTGCTGGACCCCAGGAAGAGTAGCTGCTGCCTTGGCAGGAACTAATGGGGATCCATAATAAACCCCAGGAAGAGTAGCTGCTGCCTTGGCAGGAACTAATGGGGATCCATAATAAACCCCAGGAAGAGTAGCTGCTGCCTTGGCAGGAACTAATGGGGATCCATAATAAACCCCAGGAAGAGTAGCTGCTGCCTTGGCAGGAACTAATGGGGATCCATAATAAACCCCAGGAAGAGTAGCCGCTGCCTTGGCAGGAACTAATGGGGATCCATAATAAACCCCAGGAAGAGTAGCTGCTGCCTTGGCAGGAACTAATGGGGATCCATAATAAACCCAAATACCATACACAATAGTGTAGCCTATGGACATGTGGAGGCAGGGTGACTCTACCCACCAGGATAGCAGAGACCAGCCCCATCTCCAACACGGTGGGTCCCAGGTTGAAGACAATAGCAGAGAGGACGAAGGAGATGCCCCTGGTGCCCCTGTCAATAGCCTTAGACAGCGCCCCCGTCTGGCGAGACAGGTGGAAGCCCAGGTCCAGGCTGTGGAGATGCAGGAACACGTTCTTGGCGATGCGGCGGATGGAATTCTGGGCCACCTTCCCGAACACGGCGTTACGCAGCTCGTTGAAGAGGGCCGAACCGGCACGGGACACACCGTCTGAGAGAAGAGAAAGAGGATTTCATCAGGGCTTTGGCTGCATCGGGGCGGAGCTCAGCGGAGACAAGGACCAGCCAGCCTTTGTAGTAATCATAGACAGTAACATTGACATCCATTGATTTGCTTTCATCTCAAGGCAGCAGAGGCTATAGTGTGTAGCTAGCTGCTAGGGTGTAGTGAGAGTGAGAGACTAGCTGGCTACCAGCAGGACTAACATTGTTCATTAGAGCTGTTTTCATCAGCAGTCGGAGCCAGAGTTAGGGTTGACTGAGTTCATTAGAGCTGTTTTCATCAGCAGTCGGCGGCAGGGTTAAAGGATGGAGGCACTCTGTGCTGACAGGAAGGACTGTTCACCCAAACCCTGACCTCTAGTCTATTCAAAGAGAGCTTGACATCAACAACTATTCACAAGACACAGAGCAGACAGGAGGAGAGAGATCGGGACACATAGCTAACAATAGGTTTGATATACTTGCTGTTTAATGGTTCCCTACCCCAGACAGATTCAATAGTAACTCCTGGACTGTGACAAAGATATTCAAAGAAAATTAATTGTGCTTTTCTGGTTTGTGGTGGGACTTACAACCAATAAGAACAGCAGTTGCCATGGTAGCCACGGTGTTGGGGGCATCGCTCAGGTTCAACATGTGTCCTGAGAGTCCATTCAGCTCGTCCACAGCATACTTAAACATGAAGGGTACCATCACGTTGGTCATCTAGAGAGCAAGAGAGAGAGAGAGAGAGGGGGGGATGAGGAGGAGGGAGAGAGAGAGAGAGAGAGGGGGATGAGGAGGGAGAGAGAGAGAGAGAGAGAGAGAGAGAGAGAGAGAGAGAGAGAGAGGGGGATGAGGAGGAGGGAGAGAGAGAGAGAGAGAGAGAGAGAGAGAGAGAGAGGGGAGGAGGAGGGAGAGAGAGAGAGAGAGAGAGAGAGAGAGAGAGAGAGAGAGAGAGGTGAGGAGGAGGGAGAGACAGGAGAGAGTTGTGAAAACATTCATTTCCACTCTTCTGATGGTAGAAGCATTAAGGCTGGCTGTGTGTATTAATATCCTTGTGGGGAGATCCCTAAAAAAGGGGGGGGGGGGGGGGGAATCAACATTACACAACTAACAGTTACAGAAATCAGGAAGGCAGACAGGCTCTATAGACCTCTATATCTACAGTGCATTCTGAAAGTATTCAGACCCCTTGACGTTTTCCACATTTTGTTACGTTACAGCCTTATTCTAAAATGAATTAAATAAAATTGTTTTACTAATCTACAAACAATACCCCGTAATGACAACGCGATAATGGGTTTTTAGAAATTTTTGCCAACGTATTAAAAATCTAAAAACAGTAATACCTTATTTACGTAAGTATTCAGACCCTTTGTTTTGAGACTCGAAATTGAGCTCAGGTGCATCCTGTTTCCAATGATCATCCTTGAGATGTTTCTACAACTTGATTGGAGTCCACCTGTGGTAAATTCAATTGGTTGGAGGTTGGACATGATTTGGAAAGGCACACACCTGTCTATATAAGGTCCCACAGTTGGCAGTGCATGTCAGAGCAAAACCCAAGCCATGAGGTCAAAGGAATTGTCCGTAGAGCTCCGAGACAGGATTGTGTCGAGGCACAAATCTGGTGATGGATACCAAAACATTTATACAGCATTGAAGGTCCCCAAGAACACAGTGGCCTCCATCATTCTTAAATGGAATAAGTTTGGAACCACCAAGACTCTTCCTAGAGCTGGCCGCCCGGCCAAAGTGAGCAATCAGGGGAGAAGGGCCTTGGTCAGGGAGGTGACCAAGAACCCGATGGTCACTCTGACAGAGCTCCAGAGTTCCTCTATGGAGATGGGAGAACCTTCCAGAAGGACAACCATCTCTGCAGCACTCCACCAATCAGGCCTTTATAGAAGAGTGGCCAGAAGGAAGCCACTCCTCAGTAAAAGGCACATGACAGCCCGCTTGGAGTTTGCCAAAAGGCACCTAAAGACTCTCAGACCATGAGAAACAAGATTCTCTGATCTGATGAAACCAAGATTGAACTCTTTGGCCTGAATGCCAAGCGTCACGTCTGGAGGAAACCTTGCACCATCCCTACGGTGAAGCATGGTGGTGGCAGCATCATGCTGTGGGGATGTTTTTTAGCGGCAGGGACTGGGAGACTAGTCAGGATCGAGGGAAAGATTAACGAAGCAAAGTACAGAGAGTTCCTTGATGAAAACCTGCTCCAGAGCGCTCAGGACCTCAGACTGGGGTGAAGGTTCAACTTCCAACAGGATAACGACCCTAAGCACACAGCCAAGACAACGCAGGAGTGGCTTCGGGACAAGTCTCTGAATGTCCTTGAGAGGCCCAGCCAGAGCCCGGACTTGAACCCGATCTAACATCTCTGGAGAGACCTGGAAATAGCTGTGCAGCGAAGCTCTCCATCCAACCTGACAAAGCTTGAGATGATCTGCAGAGAAGAATGGGAGACACTCCCCAAATACAGGTGTGCCAAGCTTGTATTTGTGGTCTTCTATAGCTCAATTGGTAGAGCATGGCGCTTGAAACGCCAGGGTAGTGGGTTCGATCCCCGGGACCACCCATACGTAAAAATGTGTGCACACATGACTGTAAGTAGCCGTCTGCTAAATGGCATATTAATTAATATTAATTGTAGCGTCATACCCAAGAAGACTCGAGGCTGTAATCGCTGCCAAAGGTGCTTCAGTAAAGTACTGAGTAGATAATGTGAAATATTTCAGGAGTGATTAGTGTGAGAACAGCTGGGTCTCCTACACAGTGTCTACAACCTCCCCAAGAGGAACCTCAGCCTCTCTGATGCTGGGATTTACTACTGTGCTGTGGCCTCATGTTGGGAGATACTGTTTGGACATGGCACCAAGCTGAACATTCATGGTAAATACAGTGGGGAGAACAAGTATTTGATACACTGCCGATTTTGCAGGTTTTCCTATTTACAAAGCATGTAGAGGTCTGTAATTTTTATCATAGGTACACTTCAACTGTGAGAGACGGAATCTAAAACAACAATCCAGATAATCACATTGTATGATTTTTAAGTAATTAATTTGCATTTTATTGCATGACATAAGTATTTGATACATCAGAAAAGCAGAACTTAATATTTGTTACAGAAACCTTTCTTTGCAATTACAGAGATCATACGTTTCCTGTAGGTCTTGACCAGGTTTGCACACACTGCAGCATGGATTTTGGCCCACTCCTCCATACAGACCTTCTCCAGATCCTTCAGGTTTCGGGGCTGTCGCTGGGCAATACGGAATTTCAGCTCCCTCCAAAGATTTTCTATTGGGTTCAGGTCTGGAGACTGGCTAGGCCACTCCAGGACCTTGAGATGCTTCTTACGGAGCCACTCCTTAGTTGCCCTGGCTGTGTGTTTCAGGTCGTTGTCATGCTGGAAGCTCAGCCACGACCCATCTTCAATGCTCTTACTGAGGGAAGGAGGTTGTTGGCCAAGATCTTGCGATACATGGCCCCATCCATCCTCCCCTCAATACGGTGCAGTCGTCCTGTCCCCTTTGCAGAAAAGCATCCCCAAAGAATGATGTTTACACCTCCATGCTTCACGGTTGGGATGGTGTTCTTGGGGTTGTACTCATCCTTCTTCTTCCTCCAAACACGGCGAGTGGAGTTTAGACCAAAAAGCTATATTTTTGTCTCATCAGACCACATGACCTTCTCCCATTCCTCCTCTGGATCATCCAGATGGTCATTGGCAAACTTCAGACGGGCCTGGACATGCGCTGGCTTGAGCAGGGGGACCTTGAGTGCGCTGCAGGATTTTAATCCATGACGGCGTAGTGTGTTACTAATGGTTTTCTTTGAGACTGTGGTCCCAGCTCTCTTCAGGTCATTGACCAGGTCCTGCCGTGTAGTTCTGGGCTGATCCCTCACCTTCCTCATGATCATTGATCCCCCACGAGGTGAGATCTTGCATGGAGCCCCAGACCGAGGGTGATTGACCGTCAGCTTGAACTTCTTCCATTTTCTAATAATTGCGCCAACAGTTGTTGCCTTCTCACCAAGCTGCTTGCCTATTATCCTGTAGCCCATCCCAGCCTTGTGCAGGTCTACAATTTTATCCCTGATGTCCTTACACAGCTCTCTGGTCTTGGCCATTGTGGAGAGGTTGGAGTCTGTTTGATTGAGTGTGTGGACAGGTGTCTTTTATACAGGTAACGAGTTCAAACAGGTGCAGTTAATACAGGTAATGAGTGGAGAACAGGAGGGCTTCTTAAAGAAAAACTAACAGGTCTGTGAGAGCCGGAATTCTTACTGGTTGGTAGGTGATCAAATAATTATGTCATGCAATAAAATGCAAATTAATTACTTAAAAATCATACAATGTGATTTTCTGGATTTCTGTTTTAGATTCCGTCTCTCACAGTTGAAGTGTACCTATGATAAAAATTACAGACCTCTACATGCTTTGTAAGTAGGAAAACCTGCAAATTCAGCAGTGTATCAAATACTTGTTCTCCCCACTGTATGTTATGCTTGTATATTAACAATATAGAAATATGACCCTTAGTTATTACACTGTATTAGCCAATACTATGTGGAAATATAAAGGGTTTAATTCTTTCAGGTGGTGACATTCATGTGGCGACTGAAGCAGTTATGAGGGTCCTTGTAATATTTCTCTTCAGACTGTCAATAAATAAATGAATCTTGATTGAAACAAAATGCCAGAATTACACAGTAGTTATAGTCTGATATGTAAACATACTCAAGCGACTGATGGGAGGTATTTCACAGCCGATGCTTTATGAGAGCGAACAGACGCGAACTGGCTGAGTCAATTCAGTGGCTAGCTTTGCACTTGGCTAGCTAACAGTAGCTGCTAGGGGAAAGTCATAACCTACATTTGTGTTTTGTTTTTACATACTGGTAACCAGAGACGTTCAAGGAATTCGGGACATGGGTGACTAGTTAACGTTAGCTTGGCTCTCTCTGTGTGTTCGTGCCGTGAAAGGAGGGGTTTCTTCTTTGTCTGAAAGCAATGGCTAGCTAGTATGCTAACTATTCTAGCTAACTAACTGGCTGAATAATTTGACGACGGACTCGCTCATGCTGTCGGGACTAACTCACAACGTTAGACACGGACATGAATGATCTGCTTGGCGTGTTGACACACTGGTGGTTTGTTGTGGCCGAGTATTGGTGCTAAACCGTGTTGTTGGAGTCCGGCATGCTAGCTGGCGGTGGCATCTTATGACTAGGTGCCCTGGACGATTTTCACGGAAGAATACTGTACCAAGTTAGCTAGCTGAATAAACTAAGTTAGTCTATTCCTAGAAAACATTGAACCGCTGTAGTTTACAACAATTATAGTTTCTGAGGTGGAAGTTGGGAGAGTTATATTTGGGTGTTGTGGTGAGTGAGGCCCCGCTCTCTCCTTTCCCAGATGTTTAGTTCATTTCATTCCGATCTCCTCTGCATTATTGTAGCCATTTTCTGTAGCCTGCCAACTATGCCTCTGTCTATCCCTGTTCTCTCCTCTCCGCACAGGCTATACAAACGCCTCACACCGCGTGGCTGCTGCCTCTCTAACCTGGTGGTCCCTGCACGCACCACCCACGTGGAGTTCCAGGTCTCAGGCAGCCTCTGAAACTGCCGTTCTGCTGCCAACAAGGCAGAGTTCATCTCAGCCTATGCTACCCTCCAGTCCCTCGACTTCTTGGCGCTGACGGAAACATCGAT